CCTTTGCCGGGACAGAGCACAGCATCCCCAGGACACGGGGAGCTGCTCTTGCTGGGTGGTGCTTGAATCCCTAGCATGGTTTGGGTTGGAAGGGACTTTAAAGACCATCTTATTCCTCCCCCTTCCACACCTTCCATTATCCCAGGTTGCTCCAAGCCCCATCCAACCTGGCCTTGGCACTTCCAGGGATGGAGCAGCCACAGCTTCCCTGGGCAGCCTGTGCTATGGCCTCCTGACCCCCACAGGGAAGAATTTCTTCCCAATATCCCGTCTCACCCTGCCCTCTGACCGTTTCACCCCATTCCCCCTTGCCCTGTCACACCGTGCCCTGAACAAAACCTCCCTCTTCAGCTATTTTGGAGCCCCTTTAGGCACTGGAACAGGCTCTCCGGTCTCTTGCCCTCTCCTTTCTGGGTTGCCGTGCTGGTGTCAGAGGGCAGCTTTAGGCAGGATGCTGGCGGTGGCCGTGTGGCACAGCTCGGCCCTCCCGGAGCTGCCTGCCGTGATCCGTGGCTGTGCAGAAATGGCATCAGGTGTCCCCGGCCCGGCTGCTGCCTGCCAGATGTGCTGTAATTAGTGCGGGGAGGCGATCGGGCCCTCAGCGCTCCCTCAGCGAGGGTTTCAGCCTCCAGGTGGAGGGAGGGAGGAGAGGGAAGGACAGGGATGTCAGCAGGGGCACTCCTGATCAAAGCTGCCTGCCGGCACGGAGGGACGAGGGGAGGAGGGGGCGATCTGCTTCTGACCCAGCCGGGGAAAAATGAGGGTGAGGAGCACTGACAAAGAACAGGTTGTGCCTCCAAAAGCAGGGAGGGGAGAAAAGCTTCAGTGCGCTCCTGGCGGTCCTGCCCTGCTGCAGCCCCGTGTCATGTTCCTCCGGAGCCAGCTCCTGCCCCGCAGATAAGAAAAATTGTGGAGGGGCGCGGAAGTGGGGGAGAGGCTGTGCCTAAGCACGAAAAGGGGCTGGCTGGCTCCAGCTGAGCGAGTTTCAGCAGTTTTAGCTCAGTTTCAGCGTTTGATCTTCTCCAGCCCCTGTGCAAAGCAGTGTCCGAGAGGAGCCCTGGCAGGCAGGAGGAGGCAGCACGGATGATTTAAGGAGGAGGATCTGCCTGTGAGGCTCTGCAGGAGCCTGACACAGGGCAAATCCAGGTGGCCTCCAATGCTCTCCCCTCCAGGGCCCCTCCGTACCCCTCTCTCCTGACCCTCCTTGCTAGTCCTGCTTTCATCCCCTGTCATCACTCCCGAGCCTCCTGTGCTCACAAGGGTTATACAAGTGCAGTGTGGAAGGCAGAAGGACGGTGTTTGAAATGCTGCTCTTGCCATTTCACATCCTGGGTTCAGGCAGTGTGGTTGTTTCCCCGAGGTGCAGAGGAGGTTTTGAGTACTCTCAGCCTATGTGGGAACAAGGATATGGGAGATGAAGTAGTCTTGAGTCACTCTCAACATTAACCTGTGTCTGGGAAGGTTTGGTAACTCAACTAATTAAATTCATCTTAAATCTTGTTAACAAAGCCACCACAACTTACTCTCACCCTCCTACTAATTTCCAATCCAATTCTCTCAATTTTTTTTTTTTTCCTGCTGCCTTTATTCAGACCATGAAGTAAAGCTGCCACTTTGCACATGGGCCAGCTGGTTCTGCTGTGGGATAAGTTGTGTGTGAGCAGGCTGAGCCTGGCCTGTGCAGCAGCCCTTTGTGGCCTTGCATTCAGCTCTGCCATCACAAGGGGCTTTCCCCTTGTTGCTTTCCAGTTTCACATGTCCTGCTAACAGAGAGCGGGTCTGAACTGCCACCAGGCAGTGTTTAAAGATTCAGGAGTTTGAGGATCTCCCCTGTGGTATCACCCATGGTTTCATCCCAGCTGTCTCTCCATAGCCAGTGTTTTCCATTATAGGATGCCAATCTTGTTTGGGACTGATTCACACTCATCCCCTGCCCTCTGGAAGTCTCCTGGGATTATTTCAACCTCTTGTTTCATTGGATTTGGTTCCATCAGCCAACAGTTTCCCAAAAAATCTCCCAAACACAATCAGGAGGGGAACCACAGGCCTCTGGAATGGAGGAGCTGTGCTTGTGGCTGCTGTTGCCTCAGGTCCTGATGCATTCTCTCCCAACTCACCTGTCACAGGTAAGCAGCTGCCTTCTCATGGGGAAGGTCTTGGGATCATGATTATAGAGGCTGCAAGTTAAGAAAGATGCATGTGGGACTGGTCTGGTGTGGAGAGGTCTTCAGGCACCTCTTTATTTCCCTGTGTGTGCTCCTGCTGCTGCCCAGCCTGCTGCAGGGAGCCTGCTGCTTGCCCCAGAGCAGGAGCAATTGGACTTTTCTCCCTGTGAGGAGGAACCTGTGTGATCCAGGCACTCTGCAGACACAAGCTGTGCCCAGGACTGTGGCTGATCCTTGTTTCTACTGCTCTGGGCAGCCCTAAGGATTCAGCCCTGCTAACACAGAGATCAGGGGCTTCCTTCAGCTCAAGCTGTCATGGTCTGGCCAGGTCTGTTCCCCTGTGGATGTTGCCATGTCCTGGGTTTTGTTTCCCAGGGGATGGAGCAGATCTCAGAGGACTGTGAGCTGTGTGAGCTGTTTCCATCCCTTGTGCTCTGCTGTCCTGGTGCCTCTGCACTGGCTCCCAGAGGATCCTCAGCTCTTGAGTGCCCTCAGGAGGGACGTGCAGAGCCTCTCCTCAGCCTCAGCACCACTGCACAGTCCAGCTACAGCAGGGAGAGGCCAGGGGGATGCCTGCCATGGCTTAGCCCCCTCCCTCTGTGGGGAACACACTTTTAAGCTGCGTTCTTTGAGCCTTTTCATGGACCCACGTCCCACAGGCTGAGGCCAAGCTCCTTTGTGTGGTTCATTGTCCAGCTGCTTCCCCTGCAGAGGCTGAGGTGGGAAATAAAAACAGCTTCCAGCTCCAAATATCTGCAAATCTCAATTACAATGGAGGTTTTGTGGGCCAGAAAGTGGCCCCCGAGGGAGCAGCCCTGGGGAGGGTTGAGCTGCAGATGAGCTCACAGGAGAGATGTGGCTGAACTGGGTTCACTCCTCCTCTTCTTTGTGCCCTGCCTCCTTCCACTCCAGCCCGTGCTGGTGCAGAAAGGTGAGGAGGGATGTGGCAGGAATGTCCCTGTGCCAGGGGCAGGGATGCTGCAGACAGCACAGGGTGATGTGCCACACCCGGGCACCACTTGGGCCACTTGGCTTTAAACGCTGAGGGTGACAAAGCTGCATCAGCTCCAGGACAGCAGCATGTTCACAGGGATAATCAGCACTGATTTTTTGGTGGAGCAGACCAGGCTGGCCTTCCAAGACTGGTTTTGCCTCTCAGTTGTGCTCCTGTGTAATTTTCAAGGTGATTTTTAAGATTGTTGAACATCCTTTCCTGCAGAGATTGGGACGCAAAAAAACCCCGCCAGAGCACCTTTCTGCCTCTGAGTTTGTTCTTAAAAAACTTTAAAAATATTTTAAAATACTTCAGTCTTAAATAGGCAGCCCCATTTTTGCATCAAAAAACAGTGTTGCTGTACCTGGGGACACTGGATTTTCATGTAAATCTGTGGTGTAAGACCAAGTCTTCTCTTCTGGCATCAAACAGGAGATGGGTGATGTTTACTTCTGGGAATCAATCACATGGACATCCATGTGAAGGCAGGTGCCATTGTTATGGATGTTGTTGTCAGGAGACTGAAGAAAATCCAAACTAACAGGGTAAATCCTTTCTTTTCCACACCTCTCTCTGTTTAGGCTAGAGCTGGGCAAAATAATTCATCACAAAAGTAAAAGTTTGAGTGTGCTGAAGTGGTGGAATATGAAGTGGAACCAATCTGTTGAAATGAGAAATATTTGCTTTTCGTATTTCTGAAACATTTCAGTTGTCAGTGGATTTCAGCTTCATTTATTATCATTACATATTATGCAAACCCCAGTGTACTTCAGCCTGGGTTGAATCCAGCAGCTCTTTGGGGGTTTGTTTTTAATTTTGCCTCGGTTGAAAAAGCTGCAAATATTTGCCCCAAACAACTGAGAAAAACGTTGTTTAGAGTTTTTCCAGGAAAAGCAAATATTCACTTTGTTTGCACAGCTACAGCCCTGACCTAAAGAAAACTTTGATGATCTCTTTAGCTTAATGAAAATAGCTGAGAAAAAAGAATGGAATACAGTCAGACTTCACTCTCACTTTGCTGGCTTCTTTCACAATCTCACCATTTATTTTTAAATAGAAATCCTGTTCCAGAAGCAAGCAGATATTTGTCTTTAGAAGGCCATAAAAATATCTCTGTATTGGAAGAACTCAGGTGGGTGACACTTTCAGCCTTTGCATACCTGGGCTCTGCATTGCAAACACAGTATGCAAAATGGACAGAGAGAACATTAAAATACAGATTTCCACCAAAATACTGGCATAGCATGATTAATGCTCTGCTGGTCCTTACATCAACACCCTGCAGAGCAGGACACAGTGATTTCTCTCACCCAAGTAGTGTACAGCAATAGAAAAGAGGGAGAGGAGGAAGCAACCTGTATCTTCTATCAAACCATGGGCTCCAGCAGGTGGTTCTCACATTTAGCCCAATGTTTATCACAGTTAAAACCCCTGTGGTATCTTGTCTTCATGTCCCAAACCAACCAAAAAGTCTGTTCTTTGGCCAGAACATGAACAAATAACCCTCCCTCTTCCTTCATTTTGTCCCCTCCTCCAAGTTAAGGGCCACTAAGGTCCTGGGACAGGTCAAGGCACATGGCTGGGGGAAAGAAGAGACAGGCTGTGGTTTTTGGGGTGCAGGGCTGCACCTCCTTGAGCCCTTGGTGGGGCAGATCAGCAAGGCACTGTTGGCAGGAGACCCATCCCACACCAGGGTCCAGCTGCTGTGAGGAGCACCCTGATGTGCAGCTGCTAAAAACCACTGTGGTGCTGTGGATTTGTTCTTTTTGCACACAGAGCCTGGCTCTGCAAGGCCACATCTGCTGCAGCTGCTCCTTCTGCACAGGCACATGGGGCTGGCCCCTGGGGCTGCCCTTGGGTTATTATAAATGCTGTGACCTGCACCTGCCCCTCCAGGTGTTCCTGAGTTGGCTGCCCTGCCCCACAGCACTGCAAAAACACAGTGTGGGGAAACCACAGTGCTTCCAGGACTTGGATTTCTCTTCCTAGGATGCAGAAGAGGAGGCACAGAAAATCTGTCAAGAATTTTAGTGTTAATGGCAGAGATTTGGTCTTTACCAGCTAACCCAGCTCTGCTTGCTTTGGGAGATGCCAGAGCTCCATCTGCCTGGCAGGGAGGCAAATGTACCCTTGGAGGGCAAGGAGCTGGTGTGCTACCCTACATGGTTGGAAATACCAATGTTAACATCCACATTCATCAATAGAAGTCACCTGGGGAGAGGCTGGGACAGGCTGCCAGCCCTGCACACAGACCAGAGATCCAGGTAAGAACAATCTGTTGTGTGGGACCAAAGCATCAGCCTGAGGAGAGAGTCACAGCCTTTGTGTGGCAAAGGGATTGAGGGGACTTGTTTTAGAGAGAGGAAGCATTACATTACATTGTATTATTCATTTTTTCACCTGTGCAATCCCTTGAGGTTTCACACTATCACAGTGGCAGCAAGTGTTTCACTGCTCTCTGGTTCTAGAGCTTATTCCCTGTCATAGGGGATCCCCTCCTGGGATCCCTGCCATTAGGGTAGTGTTCGAGTGCTGACAACTGGAATTTCTGGTAATTGATGTTTAGGGGATGTCTGAATTGCAGGTTTGTTTGAGGATCTGGGCTTTGCCTGGTGTCAGTCAGGCTGTGCCACTGGGACACTACTGGGGCTGACTGGTCACACCCCTGACAGGCAAACTGCATTTCTTTTTCAAGCATGCCTTCAAAATGTTGGGCCTTGAGGAATTTGACCTTTCTGTGTTCCAGCAGCTCCCTGGATAAAATATATTGTGAGACTGATGTACACAACTTTAGCAAGCTGAGGGGCAGGGAGAGATGAAAGAGCTGCTGAATCCCAGCATCTTTCTGTCACACTAATTGTGAACATTATTTGTCTATTTCTTGACAGAAACACTGCCTGCCAGGTCCTGTTTTCCCTCCTGCATCCCCATACATTGATGTTCCTGCCAGGTCCTGTTTTCCCTCCTGCATCCCCATACATTGATGTTCCTGTCAGGTCCTGTTTTCCCTCCTGCATCCCCATACATTGATGTTCTTGCCAGGTCCTGTTTTCCCTCCTGCATCCCCACACGTTAGTGTTCTCCTGTGGAACTCTAAAACACCCCCTGTTCCCATCTCCCAAAAGGAAGTGTGTGTATCACCTCCAGGACTCAGCTGCCCAAATATCCTGGATCAACTTGTTCCTGTCAAACTCTTCCCAGGAACCTACAAGAAACAAACTGAAGAGACGAAACACCAGTGGTGCCTCTGCCCGTACCAGAGCCAGCCAGGAGCATGTTCCCAATCCTCCTCGGGGCTCTGGCCATTTTTGTCCCTAGGCTTTGGCAGAGCAGCCCCGCTCCTCGATGGTCGGCACGGGGTGAATGGGCAGGACCAGGTGGGAGATGCGGCTCCACAGCCCGCTCAGCTTGTCCGAGTCCATGCGGTCGTAGGAGCCGGGGCTCCTGGCGCCGGTGAACTTGGCCCAGAGGAAGTCACGGACCCTCTCCTCCACCTGCCGGAGGCTGATGTGGCTCTCCAGCACGTCCTCCTCCAGCAGCACCGTCAGCAGCAGGGCCACGTCCTTGAAGGCGGCGGTCTCGTGGTCGCAGTACTTGTAGAAGATGAGGGTGGCGCCGGCGGGCAGCAGCTCGAAGCGGTGAACCACGGCGGCCCGGCCGCCCGCCTGGAACGCCTCGCTCAGCTCCGAGTCCACCTGCAGCTTGGCCTGGTCGCTGTGGAGCGCGGCCTTGTCGCTGCCCTCGACGTGCACCGTGCTGCCGTGCACGGCGGCCGCGTAGCAGTCGGCCAGGCGGGCGCTGAGGCAGCGCAGGGTGCGCTCGGCGCGGCGCGGGGCCGTGAGGATGACGATGGCCGGCTGCGAGGGCTGCGACGCGTTCAGGTGCTTGCGCAGGAACTTGCGCCCGCGCAGCCACAGCTCGGGGCTCTGGCCCGGGAAGCTGAGCTGCAGCAGGTCGAACTGGGACTGGAATGCCTCCAGCGTGGGGTTCCTGCGGGGCTGCTGGGAGCTGGAGGTGGGGCTGCCGAAGCAGAATATGCAGAAGCCCAGCACTGTGAGGCCCAGGATGAAAAGCCCTGTGCAGCAGGGAGAGACACAACACGGGGAACAGCAGTCAGTCCCAAGTGACCCGCAGTGACATGCTGGAAAGTGGCTACAATGGCTGTTTCTCCCCTCTCAGAGCTTCCCCCTGCACTAGGAAAGTGGAGCAAGTTGGTCAGGAAAGGTGAAAAGGCTGCAGGTCCCACTCCAATATGCCAGGTGAGGGGATGAGGGCAAGGATTGTGCAAACCTTCCTGAGGAAATTGCAGCTGCCCACAAGCTTTCCTCTTTTCTCCTTTCTCTGTTTTTTTTAGGTTTGTGGCTGTAGTGCTGCTTTCAGTGCCCTCCTCCATGCTATGAGTGAACAAAGGCCACCCTGCTTCTGCTCAGAAAACAGACACAATGGCTTGTGTCCCTCTCCAGGCAAAGCAGAGTCTCCTTCTAACAGGAGAAAAGTGTTGATGCAGATCAGCATCATTGCTCCTGCTTAGAGCCCCAGGACAGAGCAGGGGAGGGGGACCCTCAGCACAGCAGCCCCCCAGAGCTCCCAGGACATCCCAGGGCACTCACAGCATGATGACCACAATATGCCAGCTTTTGAGGCTGAAGAGCTGCAGGGGAAGCTGCCACTATAGGCTTGAACTGAGCCTGTATTTAAGGGGATGTTTTTTCTTTCAAACCCTCAGAAGAGGCTGTGAAAGGTCTCGAGAGAGAAGAGTAATTAAATGTGCTTTATTACTTGCTCCTGGAGGATCAGTGCCTTCTGGTCGATGAGTAACATGCAAGGGAAGCTTCTTTTCCTCACCTTTCCACAGGAGGGACTTTTTGGCCTTCTCCTGCTCTCTGTTTTGGGTGGTGATGTTCTGCAGGGAAGACAGAGTCTCTGGTTTTGGGGCTGTGTCCCCTGCAACAGGAGAAAAGAAATGTGTCACTCAGTGCTGAGGAAACAAGTAAATGGAGCTGTAGTAAGCAAAGCAGGAGCTCCCAGCTGAGGAAACACTGCTTTGGGTTAATACTGCCCTGAGTCTTGGCTCTCTCCTCTGGGGCTGGGCAAGGAGAAAGACAATGCAGAGTGCAGTGTGGCTTCATGCCTTTCACAGCACAACAGGAACCAAAGAAAGAGAGAAGCCAATTAATTTCTTATCCCTTTCAACTCCAGGGAAGTGACAATGGCTATGAGAGATCTCACCCCATTGCTCTAGTGCCTGTGGGAAATGCAGGAAGTGGAAGAGCAGCAGTGTGCAGCCCCCAGCTCACCTTTTGGTCTTTTCCTTAACGTGCCTTGGGACCCGCTCTCCTGTGTTTCTTGCCCTCTGGGTGCCTCTGGCTCCCAGTCTGGGACAGTGGCACTGCTGCTCTTCTCTGCCAAGTGGCCCCTGAGGACATCTTCCACCCCAGTCACATCCAAATGTGTCACTTCACTGCCAGAGCTCCATGCCTTGCTTGTTGATGAGGAATCTTCCTCTGCTTTGCAGAGACTTTCATGTTGCCCAATTGTCTCCTGGTGCTCCCGTGGTTCCTGGTAGACAGGGCTGTCTCCTTTGCTTTCCACACTCTCATGGCCCAGCCCAGCTGTGGGGAATAAAATTCACAGACCTGCACTTCGTCTCTTTGAGCCCAAGAACCAACAACTCTTTCTCCTGCTCTGCCTCCTCTAAGGCAAGGCCCAGGTTATCAGGCCCAAGGGTGGAGAGAGACTCACCTCCATCCAAGTCCTGTTTTTCCAGGGGTCTTTCTGAGACACCTTCTCTTGTTTTGTCAGACTCTTCTGGCAACACTTCAATTTGCTGGGCAGGTTTCTCCTCTAGTGTGGGACCAGCTGAAGCCAGGAGTGTTGTCTCTCCCCCACCAGCAGCTGATTCACACACTGTAGACTCCTCCTCTGGTTTGCAGGATGTCTCAGGCCACCTGCCTGTCCCTTGGTGCCCAGGTGTTCCCTGGGTGGGCTTTTGGTGCTCAGGATGCTCTGCTGTGCTCCCCACCTCAGCCTGGGCTGGTCCAGCTGTTGGGATCAGAGTTCACAAGCCCAGTGAGCCACGCAGGAGTGAAGAATGCCCAGTGCTTTACCACCACCCACACAACTCCCAGTTCTGGCTCTGCAGAAACGTTTACCCCCAGTGAGATGGGAGAGAACAGAGTGACCAGAGGTGAGAAAACTCTTGGGTTGAGTGAAGGGAAGGAGGGAATCAGGATGCAAAGGCATCACTCACCACCTCCTGCAAGCAGACTGATGCCAGGCCAGTCTCCCAGCAATGGCCACCTCGGAAGCCACCCCCTTTCTCCCTTTCTGTCTTTGTCCCATTTTTTTGTTGCTGAGCATGATGCTATATTGTGTTCAATGACCCTTTTCCCACCTTGGGTCCCTGCCCAATCTTCTGCACACCCCAGGGTATTTGCTGGGCAGGGGCAGAAAGCCTTGATGCTGTATTCAGCAAAAGCCAAAACACTGCTCTGTTTTCAACATTTCTTTCTCTAAGCCCACAAATCCAAACCACAGACCTTGCAGCTGCCATGTTAAAGCTAACTCAATCCCAGCTTATGTCCTAGGTGGGATGGGCAGGCAATTCCTTCCTCCAATGGTAGGATATGTTACCACATCTTCCACAGACAGTGGATTTTCACAGATAGTGATGGATTTGGAGAATTCCTAAGGCTGTGGTTGAGTACAGTTATGCCAATGCACTTCAAGCATCTGTCTGAATGTAAATGATAATTCTCATGCTCTGTGTTTCTGTGCTGGATCTGCTCTCCCAAAGAGCTATGGCAACATTTAATTGGAAACAAACACTGGAGCATAATTCAATAGAGAGACCCTGCAACTGAACAGCATCTGTGACATATTCTGACTCTCACAGAACCAAAGTGCAGCTCAAATTTCAGGCACTATTTGTGACAAATTGCTTATGAATGATCAAGCACTACATAAATGATTAGGCTATAATTATTAAAAGGGTGAGGAACTCCCTCCTAATTTGAAAACAGAGAAAAAGCTGCACTTGTCACTTGTCAGAACATTATTTTTACATTCTTTGTTGCTGATTATTACAGTGACACTTCTGACTATCTAGGACAGACCTGAGCTGGGGATGGCATCGCTTTATCACTGACACACTCATAGGTACTAGTCATAACAAGGCTCCCACAGAATGTAAGTACACGGTAGAAACAGAAACATGAGGAACTTGGAGATATCCTGCTGTTCAAGCTGGGCACAAACTACTCCCTGCCCTGCCTCTTCCACAGTTTTTCCAGCCAGAGGTGGTGGAAAACTGGCTTATTATGTAAGGATTTGCAGATGGGAAGCACCAGGATGGGGGGAAGAAAGCTTTTCCAGTCTGGATCTCGCTCTTCAGCATTCCTTGTGCTGCCATCTTGGGACACAGAGTCTAAACCTGTCACAGATCAGAATCCAAAACTGAAAGTAACTTGTTCATCTTTCACCCTTTAAAAAATGACAGCAACTTGCTTTCCTTGGCCTGGAAAAGACGGGATTCTTTTACTGGTTTGTTTTTCTTCTGCACAGGTTTCTCATGTCACTGGCAGCAAAGGGATTTTCCTAGATGGAGCAAGCAAAGGATTCACTTACCTCCAAGCAGATCCACTCTCGGATTCTCTTCCATTTTCCTTTTCCCCCGGAGTTCTGCCTTCTGCTCGGTTTGGTTTCACTTTCTCGGACGTTCATAGGGAGCTGTGTGTCCCTGCTGTTCCGGAGGCTGACCGAGTCCTGCCCTCCTCACAGCCACCATCCCGTCCTGCTCCGGCCAACTCCAGCTACACGCCCACAAACCTGATAAGCAGAAACACCGTGAATCACGGTGGGGGAGGCTCCTCCTCCGTGATTCCCAAGGTGAAAATGGGAGGATACGAACCTTCAGCCCGCGGGCTGTCAGCTATTTTGCTTCCCGTCAGAGCAGGGGTTAATGCACACCGCATTTATCGCGGGACACGCCAGGGGGGTGAGGCACTGCTGGCTCATCCCACGGACGCCAGGCCGGAGTGTGGGGCTCGGCAGCTGCCCCGGGAGCTTTTGGGGCTGGTAGCTCGCAGCCAGGCCGGCACGGAGCGATGCCCTGCTCCTGCTGTCGTTCCCCCTGCCTGCTTCCAGCGTGTGGGATCTGGAGGCGATGCGGCAGAACCCCCCCGCGGACCCGGAGCCGCAGCCTGAGCGAGCCCCGCACGCCCCCAGCCATGATTCCCCCGGCTAAAGCCCTTTGGGACAGGGCACAGACGGAGCCGGGCTCGCAGGTGTCACCCAGGCTTTCTTGGAAAACTCCCAAGAAACTTTCCTCTCTGGAGAGCGGTCCGTGCGGTTTTCCGCACAGGAATCTCCAGCCCAGGCTCCGAAAGCAGCAGCTTTTCGGCACCGGGGGACCCCTCGGCCCCAGCAGTGTCCCCACACACGGTTCGGGGCTGGGGGGGTGCAGCCGCTGCCCCGCCGCCCGTCCCTCCCCTCCCTGTTCCCGATGCTGACGCTCCGGCAGGAGAAGGAAATCAGCAGAACAAAGTGGGGCCGCTTACCCAGGCAGGTTCGGAGCCGGTCAGGGCGGCGATCAGCAGCAAAGCGGCGGCAGGAAGAGGCCAGCGCTGGCCTTTCCCCTTGCCCTCCGTCCCAGAGGCCCTTTGGTGGCAGGGCACCAGCGCACACCCTGAATGCTCCGCTGGAAACGTGACGGTGAACCCTGCCCTTCCCTGGCTCCCGGCTGCCTGCTGGGAGCTGTAGTTTTCCTTCCCGCAGTCATTCTCGGGAGCCTTCAGGAAACATTGACTTCCTTTTTTTAGCCGTGTTTCCGCGACTCAGTGGCTGTGCGCTTTTTTTTCAGCTCTGCATGACTGACGGGTTCCTGCATTCAGTTACAGTGTTGCTGATTTGAAGCAAGGAAAGGATAGCGAAAGGAGGGAACTAGTTTGAGAGTTGATTTAGGAAAAGTACTACAAGAAAGGTAACCCAAACACATAGGTAGCAAAGCCCAGACTGGAAATGTCACGTTTCCAGTGCAGGGAGGCTGGGGAGGATGTGACATGGAGGGCCTTCAGCATCAGCCTGGGGGAAAGGCATGCGGAGCCCACCCAGCGTCCACACAAGTGGGGAGAGGCTGCAAAGCAGGGAAAGGTCTGAGAGTGTGTGAGTCAGCCCTTGGCCTCATTTAGGCAATGCTTTTCCCAAAAAAATCCTGTTCTAACTCGTGGTGCCTGCACGGGGGCATGTATAGGCATGGGAACGTTCCAACCCTTTCCCTATTCCTGCCCAGGACGTGTTTCATGGAAAGCAGCAGCATGGAGCACTCCAGGGAAAAGGCACAAGGAGCTGAGAACAGAGACAGCAATGCCCCTGGAACTCAGCTTGCTGCCTTTTCACAGCATCCTCAGAGGAGCTCAGCAGCAAATGGCTGAGACAAAACACAGGGAAAGGCAAATGAGGCAGTGCTGGAAAGGAGGGGGCACTGAGTGGCTGGGACTCCTCAATCTGGGGAGCAGAGGGCTGAAGGAGGGTGGGATTAATGTGTTTGATTTGTTAAAAAAACTTCAATTTGATTAAATTTTCCCCCCACACACTAGTACTGGAGGCACTTGTAAAACAGGTAAGAGGCTGGGTTCAAATGGGAAGAAAAAATACTTTATGCTGTATGGAGGAACACTTGCTGGCCCAGGTAGCACAGAGACAGTGTCAGAGGGGTCACTAAAATGTGTGTGCCATGTTACCTGAGGTGTCCGCACGTGCACAGGCATCAACACTGACACTGCTCATGTCAGCAAGGTGATGAGAAGGGGAGGTGTGCTGGCCACTATATCTCATTTCTGACAGTGGCTTCCTCTGTCACCCACAGAGCCTGGGAGGGGACAGTGGCCGTGGCAGACTCAGCACATTCCCTTGTCACGACCAACCTCTCACCAGGTGCAGCAGAGGCTGTAAAACCAGAATGGAAAAGCAGGAAGGAAAAAGTCAGCGTGGCTGATTCACAGGGGCCAAGGTCACCTTGAGGGCCCTGCTGCTGGCTGCCATCAGTCTCACACCATGACTTGATCTCCCTCAGTAAGGAACAGCAGGGAGGAGCTGCAGGTGGCTTCATGGAAATCCAGGCATTTTCTATCCCTCTGTCCCTGAAGCCATCCAGTCCCTTCAACACAGTGTTTGGGGCTGAGGGGCTGCCCTTTCCATGGAAGCACAAGTGTCACAAAACTGGTGTCAAGTGTGTGACAAAATCAGGGGGTCATTTCAGCCTCTCCAGGTTGAGAACCTGGTTCCCAAAAAGTCATTTGGCAGGAAAATTAGCTGGGTGGCCTAGGGCATGAAGTCATCACAAAACAGTTACAAAAAAGGAAAAAGGATCTTGCCATTGTTGTGTTGATTTTCTTTTCCTGATATGGTATTTGTTACACCTTCTTTCACTTTTGCTTTAGAAAACAATGCTCAATATGTGTGTTCTGCTTTTAGGACTGAAAAGAATGACAATATTTAATGCTGGTACAGTAGGAAATATGTATAACTTATCTCACAAATATTCACTTGCTTTTGGGTGAAACTGCAACATTTATGGTGTGTTAGTCAAGAATTTAGGGTATTTTTTGTTTTGAAGTATTTGTACAGAGAAGACAGGCACAGGAGTGGAGGCTGAATGAACTTCCCTCACTCAGCCTTCCTGCTGGATTGCACAAAGTGCCAGACTCTCCTCAGGGACAGGACAAGGAGCAGTGGCCATAAACTAAAACACAAGAAGTTCCACCTCAACGAGAGGAAGAATTTCTTCACTGGGAAAGGCTGTCCAGGGAGGGCATGGGGTTTCTCTCTCTGGAGACATTCCAAACCCACCTGGATGTGTTCCTGTCACCTGCTCCAGGTGACCCTGCCTTGCCTGGGGGGTTGGACTGGGTGATCTCCAGAGGTCCCTTCCAAGCAGAACAATTCTGCGATTCTGTGAATTTGTAAAAGGGTCTCTATTTGCTTAGCAACTTATTTCCAAGCTGGTCTTGAGCTGCTAGGGAGGGAGTCTAGAGGAGACCTTGTAGTCCTATCATACTGCATCTTAGAAACTTCCAGCCATAGGAACTCTACCACATGCCTGGGTAAAAATGCTTTATCGAGAATGCAATCAAACGCATTTTAAAAGTCCTGTTTAGCAGTAATTAATCGGAACAAACAGGCAAGAAAAATGAAATGCCTATTTAGTGAGATATTCCAGATCTGATTCACCAAAACGACTCCCACACTAAGGAACAGAGTAGTGCAGCGTTATCAGTGCCAGAGGATTTCACGTCCCTCGAAGCACCTCAAAGTTTCCCCTCTCTGCTACTCAGCTATTTGTGCTTATTTTACAGACTTTTCAGCCTCCGAGAAATGCAAACCCAGCCCTGCTGCGATCGGTTTGCACATAGAAAATACCACGGCGGGGAGCGGAGGCGCCGGGCCCGGGCTGCCCTCAGGGGCCGCGCCCGTCCCGCATTTTTTTCACTGGGGGGCAGCAGCCGCGGGGCCGCCGGGCGGGCGTTGCAGGGGCCGCTCCCGCCGGGCCCGGCCCGATCCCGGTCCGGTCTCCGGTGCGGGCCCCGGGGCGGTGCCGGGGCCATGGCGGACCGGCCGCGCTACCACGTGACGCCGCGGCGGCCGCTCCGCGCGCGGGCGGAAGCGGCGGACGCGGGTCCCGCCCCGCGGGAAGTGAGGCCCGCGGAGCCGCCCCCGCCGCCGCGGGAAGGCGGCAGCTCTAGGCCCGAGCAGGCGGCGGCGGGCGGACGGGGAAGAGGACGGGGCAGAGGACGAGGCCGGGGCAAGCGGCGCGGCGCGGGCGGCATGGTGGGCAGCGGCGACGAGGAGGGGGCTCCGGCGGACGGCCCCAGGTTGGCTCCGCCGGACGGCCCCGGGCTGAAGCGGCGGCGGAAGAGCCCCCGGCTGGCAGCGGCGGCGACGGCGGCGCGGCCGGAGGAGCTCGGGGACGAGGTGGACAGCGCGGCCCTGCAGGGTGAGCGGCGCGGGCGGGCGCAGCGGCTCGCGGTGGATCATGTGGTTGAGGGCGCGGTAGGGCGGCGCGAAGCGGGGCGGGCGGGCGCCGTGTGGTTCCCCTCCGGGGGTGTTGGGACGGGACCGCGGGCTCCCGGTGAGCCCGGTGCTTCTGGAAGGCTCTCAGGCCAGTGGGATTGAGCTGAGTGTCCGGCCGTGCCCCTCACCCGTGTCTCGTTTCAGGGGACGAGCATCACTTCGGGACCCCAGACTCCCTGACGCGGCCCCCTATAAAAGCGTACAGATCGCCAGGTAGGCTCCGATCCCAGGGCTCCCGAGGGGCTGGGATGGCCCTCGCTCAGGGAAATGGGGATTATTGGGTTTAACTCCTCGGCAGGTGTTATTGTGGCACATAGGTGAGGAAATCCCGCTGTGACTCTTACCCCACAGACCAGGGATGGGAGGAGGAGCGATCCTTTTCATGAGGGCACGCTCAGGTGGCTGTTTTATTAGTACATCACTTGGAACAGTACTTGACCCCACAGCATTTAAATTTTACTAACACTGCTTGGTTTTGAAAGGCAGGATTTAAATAAGGTGTGCTGAGCTGCAGAATCGATCCCTCAGTGGCTGTGCTCCTTACAGGGAGCAGCATTGTTTATGAGGAAATGCAAAACTGGGGTTTTTCTTCTTTTGAAACACAAGGATGCTCTGGGACTTGCTCCTGGATACTGGGCTGGACAAGCTGCTGTGTTATCACTGTGTGGCAGCCACTTGTTGCTTTAGTTGATGAAACTCGTGTCTTTCTCCAAGCTATAGAAACATGCTCACTCAGTGTGACATAGTCATGTGGCTTTAGCCCGTCATTCCACCAGGAAGCTGTGAATAAATTGTATTTCCTTCCTCTTTTCTCTGTTGTGGAGTGTGACAGTGCTCAGGGATGCATTGGGCTAGCCTGAGACTGTTCTCCATTCCCATCTGTGTTTTTGTCGCCAGGAATTGCCTGCCTGTATTCTGCTCCAGAAGCAGAATTCCCTGGAGGCATGGGGGGAAAAAAAATCTTGTTTTGAGGAAGGTTGTGAGTATTTCTTTAGGCAAGTACAGAGGTTTGTCTGTGACAAAAGCTCGTGCTCCCACATGGTGGCTAACAGGGTATAACAGGCTCAGTGTTTTAAACGTGGCTGTGCTGTTTCAGGAGGTGCAGCTGAGGGTTGGCTTTTTAATTAGATGGCTCTAAAAATGAGGCTCCTCTCCCTCCCACCCTCCCCAGCTCTTAGCAGCTGTGGTGGATTATAGGCACAACAGGTGTAAAAGTATGATAACAGACTCTAATTGTTTATATAGCAGCAGAGGGTTAGTTTTTCCCCCATTTGTAGATGTGCAGTATTTTGCTTTTCCTGCAGAGTTTAGGGGATGGTCTGTGAGGCAGGGCAATGAGCAGGCTGGGTTGTTGGGGAAGCAGAATTGTCCTGCTTCCCTGAGAACAGAATGGAAGCAAAACCACACCTTGAGAAACTGGTTCCTGGCCTCTGCTGAGAGGTTTTAAATACAGGTTAGGCAACTTGCCTGGGGAGCTGGAAAGCTTTAAGAGCTTTAGGAAGAGCTTGCAGAGTTTTAAAAGCCTAAAACCC